GGTCTTTAGAGACGGAGCCAAACCACTTGATATTTATGATAATGTTGACTTATATCAAAGGTTTAGGTTTTGTGGAGCTTCTATTTTTTATTTGGAAAATTTGCTGAAAACAGAATTACAACAAAAGTCAAATCAAAGTTTTTGTGTTCCGCCAAAGGCTGTGATTTCCCAATTAAACAGCTTTATTGTCTGTTGGCATCGCAACGCTTAGATGCGATGAAAAAAGCAGCACAAAACTAGTTAATGGAGTTCGCTAACGGAGTAGTTAATAAACGGAGTTTAAATGGAATGGTTAGAATACCATTAACTTTCCTCCGATTTTAACCGTCCATTTAAAGTTTCTTTCTTAACGGACACTCAAATTCTGCGTTAGTTTAACGGAGAGTTGTGAATATGGCGGCAGACCTTGTTTCAAATAAAAAATGGGTTAGCACATTACCTCTTCCTGATTTTGACGTCATAAAATCTTTATTTATTTATTTAAGGACATTAACTTTTTTTAAACTACCGCAGTAAAATAAATTACAAAAAAATAAGTTTAATTTACTAATTAATAAAAATAAGATTTAAGTTTCCAAGTACCATTTATTAAAAAATCTATATCGTTGCCCTTTCACTTGCCTTAAGACAAAAAAGTTAAACGTACACTTTATGAATATTTTTGATGTAGTGTTATAACATGTTTACAAGGAATTTAGTTTTTTGCAAAAAAGGAGGAAGAAAAATCAAGAAAAAAAAAATCTGTTTATTATATAAAGCTGATGTAACTAGTATAAAATTTTATTTTTCTAAACTATTGTTTTTCGCAAAATAAAACTTATAAATATAAACTAAAATAGGGCGATTTCCATTAAGCAACTTTTTATCATTTTTTAGCTTATAGATTATTCTATAAGCGGATATATAAACGAAGTAATTAACTTTATAAAAAACCATATTAACTTTTGAATGATGATACAAAGCTTGAATTTATTACAAAAGTTTAAATGACAATTATTCTAAATGTAAGCGCTATTTACTAAAGAAAAAAAATTCAAATAAAATTAAAAACTGCAAAAACTTAATCTACAAAAGCTATTTAGTTTATTGAAATATTTAGTAACAGAAAACAAAATTGGTTATAGTTTAACTTAATTTATCTTAAATGTTAAATTTATTTAACAATATTAGTATATATTGTTCAATATTTAAATTTTATTTATTGTTTATATAATTTTATTATATAATTTTAAAAATTAGCTCATTTTAATCCCAATTGTTTTTTCCATTTTCCTTCCTAAACATTTTTTTTTACTCCAAATTAAATTTTAAATGTGTTCCGAAGCTGTCTCAAAAATTTGCACAAAATGTAAGTTAAACTTTTTTTTATAACGCAAGTAGAGCACAGCAATTATTTTATAATAAATAATATATACAACAATATATTTTTAACAAAATGGTTTAACAATATAACATATTTTCATTCATTTATACAAATGTTGAGAAATTCACATTAGGCTAATGCCTTAAGCATTTTTTATTTAAAACAAGGCCTGGAGTAATATCCATAAAAGATTTTTTTTTTTAATTATGAAAAAAGAAAACTCTTTATAAGATGTTGTTTAAAGTTTGAAATAATGTTTTTTTTTTTTATTTTTTTATTTTTTAAGGTCAATAACAAACAAAAATATCAAAAGCAAAAAACTAAAATATCAAAAGTGGCACTAATATTAAAATAAAATTTATCATTTTTTAGCTAATAATTTTTTTTTTTTTAATTTAGTAATTATTTTTGTTATTGTTTGTTATGAAAAATTGTCTAAATAAATATTCTTGCCCTTCCAAGATGATAGATTTTTTTTATTATGTTTATTTTATGATTTCTTTTTTTACGTGCCTATAACATCTTTTTTTTTACTTTTACTAAACATTTTCAATGATTCAAACTTCATTCATTTCTTTGATTATTCAAACTTCATAAGTGATTTGTATAACTTTAATTACTTCTTTTATCTTACAGCTTGAATGATTTTAGACTTGTTTAAATAAAAAAAAATAACTTACGTGAAAAGACTTACCGCTTACATTAAATGGCTTAGCGCATACATAAATGGTATTAGCATGCAAGTGGATGTGCATAAATACAACTCCAGTGTCATTAGAATGCTCTTTCTTGGCTGGTGGTCATGTGGTCAATTAACTGCATGCATCTTTAGCACCTGTAACAGTATTCATGTTAAATTTGTCTATTTTTATTCATAACTGTAATTGGGACTTGTGTAACCTGGACACATGAATTAAAAAAAAGTTTAGACAAATAAAAAAAAAATTCTTAATAAATGGCGTTATTGAATAAAAAGTTTTTACTGACTGTTTATAAGAACATTTTTACAAAAACTATTGGGTAATTTTCTGTCAATTCATCCAGGCAATGTCTCTGATTTTACTGATTTTTATACAATTTTAAAGAAACAATTTTAAAATGCACGTTTATCGGCACTAGAAAAATGACATAAGCTTTAGAGCTCCAGGTAGTCTGAAAAGTAGTTGAAATGTATTTCAAAATTCCTCTACAAAAAAGTGGGGCCCGTGTCCCATTATATGGAAATCCATATACTTGCAGATCAAATTCCTTATGTTTTCTGAAAGTTTATTAAATATAGAATGATATATATATTTTTTTGTTATCATCAAGGTCACATTTCTGATTGTTTTATTGGATCCTTTACCCCTAAAAATAGTCAGGTACAAAATTTTAAGTAAAAAGATCAAATATTTTTAAAGTTATGTGACTTGGAACCTTTAAACAAAGATCACAATTCTTAGGGGACAAGAGGGGCCTGGCCAAGGTCCGTTAAAAATAAAATGATCATATTTCAGGATCTTCTTGGAACCAGAAGCTGAAATTCTCAAGGAATTTTTATTTTACTAATTACTCTCAACTGTAAAAAAATCAATAAAATCTGAGACATATTGTGACATTTTTGAAATTTTCTGGATGAATTGACATGGAATTACTTTCTCTATTGTTTTTTAATATTTGCCATTCTAATGACCAGCTTTGCAGTCAATAGATAGAAACTGTTTACCACTTAAGTCTTTGCCTAGGAGACCTTTTACAAGACAGCATTTAATGTCTGCCCAAGATGAGTATTTTTATCAAGACACCATCTCTAGATAAAGTCAAGGTAAATATTATCAAAAGGTTTTTATTCAAGTTGAGTGTACATAAGTTAATTACTGTAAAGTGATTTGTTTCACAAGGGTGTCCTTAATGAAATCCATGTTGAGAGGAACTGCGAACTTAAAAAAATAAGTTAATATACATTTTTGTATTATTTTCTCAAATATTTTAACTATAGTACATGTTAAACTGATGGGTTCTTATTTGTAGCTAGTTTTCTATCTACTACTTTAAATATCAGTATAATATTTTCATCTTTCCAGATTTTATGGCAAGGTACTATTTTGAAGGACTTAACTATAAGTAACAATAAGATGTTTTAAAGTTTTTTTTAATATTCTGTATGTAACTTTATCTGGGTCTGGTGGTTTAAATGATTCAATTAAAAGAGGAAAAAATTATATGTTTTTAGAAGATCAAAATTGTTATGGAGCTGATTGGAATAAACAAAAGTTGAATTAAAACTTGGAACAATCATTTCAAATTATGACAGAAATTCATATTTCAAGTTATGTCAGATATAGGTTCTTTAGTTATTTTCTTAGTTAAAAAACTCTTTAGTTAGTTTTTTTAGGATTTTTAACAATTTCATTTTCAGAATTCATTATTACTTTTCTGCATGCTGCATTAGTTTCATTTTGTGCTTTGCAATATTTGTAGTATATTTTTTATAACATAACATTATGATTATAAACATAAAATCATTACATTTCCAAGTTTTTGAAATCAAATTTTTTGATTTCACAAAGTGAAAAAAAGCAGAGAAGGAGTAATGCAATAGAATTGGATAAGAAGTGTTAAAGAAAGCTAAAGAAATGATAAATAGGGTCCTTCAAAGCCGTAATAGTGAATAATTAATATTTATCATTAGGTGAAAAATAAATATTTACTATTGTTTAACAATTCAAAAAAAGGTGAATAATTATTATTCACCATATTTTAACAATTTTATGTGCCAATAAATTCAGTAACATAATAAGCTATAAACAGCTAAAAAATTAAATAACAAAAATGTTGAAAATAACTGCAAAAAACTCCAACAAACAGGAAAAACAGAAAAAAACAAATTTCAGCTCTACAAGGAAAAACTAGCAAAACTGTTTGATATATCTGCTTGCCAATGCAAAAATCTAAAGAAATGCTGCTGTGCCAAAATTAATATGGTACCAGCTATGGACCACCCTTTCCTGGAAGATCAAAGGAGTGAACGCAAAATGGCTATAGGTTCAATAGACAAAAAAATTACAGCAAAACTGCAGAATATCCAAAGCAAACAGAGCTCAAACCTTAAATATGCAGTGTCATTCGATTCTTTTATTTCTACCAAGCCTATTACTTCGAAACAGCCTGCTATCGTTGAAAACACCCAGGCATCAACACAGATGCGATTGTCTATCCCTTCTCTTTCATTTTTAGAAATATCGTATTTCACAAAATGTGCAATTTTTTATGAACTGGCTAGCATTTTTGCACAGATTGCAAAATGGTGAATTTTATTTTGGTGAATTTTATTTTAATATACATTCATATTAATAAATATTAATAGTAAGGTTAAATAACAGTTATATATTTTTGTTATATATAATAAATATAACTATTTAAAAAACAACAATAAAAGTTCAACATTTCACAATCCAAGCAATAGTACTATCCGTTTCACAAAATGAGCAAAATGTTGCACATTTGGTGTATTGTGCAATTTCACAATCTGTGCAAGACATTTTTATTATAAATTTTTTGATAAAAAATTTATTTAGTTATTAATGATTAAAAGCAATTTGTATGTTTGTATTACAATATTTTTATGTTAATTTTATAAATGTACTTATAATTGCAGGTTACCAAGAATGTATACGATGTCAAATGTGGAAATACATCATATCAACTGGTTCATATAAAAAGCACAAGTAAAAGCAATTTAGAAAATGAAATTCATTATTTGATATCTATGATTAATGTACCTACTATTGTTGTTAAACATGTTTTAAAAAAAACAACTGTGACCATAAATAATGACAACATCTGCAACAGAAGCGGTGAAGCATTTACTTTTTCAGACAATAATAAAGAATTATCTGGAGTGATCATAACTCGTATTTTCTCTTATAATGATTCTTCGGATACAGTATCTTTAAAGGATGCTTCTAAAGGTCCAAATATAATTTCACAATATAAATGGTTGTTATTAAATAGACCTGACAATTCTGACAAATCAGTTATGACATTATTTGAAGGTGCCACGCATAACTCATCGAGTCGGCTTACTTTAATGGTATATTTATTAAAAAATAATTATAATATAATGTTTTAATTTGAGTGTTGCATTTGTTTTGTTTTGTTGTAGTAAAGTTTTGTTTTAAAGCTTGCATTTTATTTTAAAGACTAAAACATATTGTGAAAGCTACCGTTCTACTGATCTTCCACATGACAGTGTCAATGAAAATGTTACAGAGTTCAGACTTACTTTAAATAATTTGTATGCTGAAAAATATTTGCGATATGCTGTTGAGGTTACTTTTTTTAGTACAAATAATAGTGAAGATTCTGGAAAGTACAAAACTTTTAAATCTATCGATGATGAATATACTCCAGGTATATTTAAATATTGGACAATTACATTTCCAATTAGTACATTTGCATCTTGGAAACCCGTTGCTTATAATTCTGAAACGTTTTCAAGGCAAACTCAGTCATTATTGTACCAATTTGATGATTCTGGCAAGGAACTGTCAAGTAAAGGAAAATTAAACTCTAAATCTTATATTGACTGGAGTATTGTTGCTGGGATACCAAGTGTTATGTTTTACTCCACAAATGTTACTTTTGGGGTGTCTAAAGATGGTTGGTACCAAGGAACAAATTATTCAAGTTGGTATGACTCTTTTTTTAATTGAATATTTTAAAAATTAGTTAATAATTATTTTTAAGTATCTATTTTTTTGTTAACATAATAAAATACATAAATAATGCCATAATAATTATTAAAAATATTTTACAGAGGATTTTTTCAACTTTCGATATTTTTAATTTTTTTTTTTTTTTTTTTTTAATGTTCATTCACCTTCCTGAGGCTGAGAAGGCCACTACAGACAAGGAGGTTACTTAATTGTGGTTATAACTCTTTTTCAACTCTATAATTCCGAAACACAAACCTTGACAAACAAGGCTGCTGCAAGGAAAAACCAGTTGAGCGCAGTACTACCAGGGACGTGGTGGGGATTTGAAAATAATATTAGCTTGGATTGTAAGCCGGTTCTAATCTAGCATTTAGTATTGACTTTACTGCGTGTTGGACTCTGGTTGAAGAACCAGCGTTGTTTTAATTTTTTTTTAATAGTATTTTAATTCTTTTTAAAGTTTATAAATTTTAAAATGTTATTATACTTAAACATAACTTATACGGTTTTATATGATTTTATATGGTTTTATATGATTTTATATGATTTTATATGGTTTTATATGATTTTATATGGTTTTATATGATTTTATAGAGTTTTATATGATGTTATACAGTTTTATATGATTTTATATGGTTTTATATGGTTTTATATGGTTTTATATGGTTTTATATGATTTTATATGGTTTTATATGATTTTATAGAGTTTTATATGATGTTATACAGTTTTATATGATTTTATATGGTTTTATATGGTTTTATATGGTTTTATATGGTTTTATATGATTTTATATGATTTTATATGGTTTTATATGGTTTTATATGACTTTATATGATTTTATATGGTTTTATGATTTTATATGATTTTATATGGTTTTAAATGGTTTTAGGGGCGTCACAAAGTTAATATATAAAAATTGTTCCACTATAAATTAATCTGCATTATCATGAGTTTATTTATTACAGTGACTGTAATAAAAATGGCATCAAGTCACTTATGCTCATTGGCAGTAAAATGTTCCCAAACGCGGAAACATTTCTTTATATTCACCAAAGTAACATCAAATATTGAATGTCATTATTAAAAGTAAAATTTTTATTATAACATAATAGATGATCTGTTGATTATTTTTTATTCAATTTTTGATTATAATTATAGATAACAATGATTATTGTCCATAATTATTTGAATTTTTCAAAGATATCAAAGTTTTATATATTATTGGAAGAGAAACTGAAAACAAAAATTATTATTAAATTCAATATAGTAAATAAACTTCATTTTTTAAACTTTTCATTTTATATACAAAATAGAAAATGAAGTTTAACACATTAAAATACATAATTTTTTTTGAAGTGATACATTTTAAAGATATTAATGAGATAAATTTTTTTGAATTAAGCAGCCTGATTTTTATCATTATCATTATTTATTATTAATTTAAGTTTATATTTTAGTATTTATTTAATTTTTTGTTTGATAGTTTTTAAATTTCAAAAAATATTTTAGCTTTTTAATTTTTTTTTTGAGATTTCTCAAATTTCTTTTTACAAAACTTAAGCGCAATATTTTTTTATTTGTTTCAAGAGTGAGATTCTAAAAATTACAAAAACTCACAGAATTATTTTTTTATTGTTCTATTCAAGAGTAAGATTGCAAAGCCCACAGAAGTTCAGAGAATTGTTTTTTGTTTATTTTTTCAAGAGTGAGATACTAAAGATCACAGAATTTCATAGCTTTTTTTTTTTCTAAAAACAAAAAATTTTATATTGTCTGACTCAAAGAAGATAAAAACGATGGTTTTTACTTTAAGATGCACTTCTTGCATTTTGTTTAAGTAATTCTAAAATATTTTATCTGTTTAGTTGTATTATCAAAATTAAAGTAAATAAATTGATCGTTTAGATCTAAATCTTTACTAATTTTTTTAAAGAATTATTTTCATGTATTTTGATTGATCCTCCAAACTCAATAAATTAATAAGTTGTTAAAACTTTTCGGCTTAGTCTTTTGAGACACACTTAGTACCTTGTCACACTTAATACCATAAAAAATTTTGCTACAGAAAGTTTTCAATTACTTTTTAAGCATCTAGGAATCGAGAAGATTTAAATAAAAGAAATAAAAGTATATTCAGATACTTTTTATGTTCTGCAGCTAATAAATGACAGTGGTTGATTCTTAGCCGAGGCCAGGATTGATGAAACAAAGCCAAGACCAGAGCTGCATACATGTTGATAGCACGTTAACGAGCTGCATACATGTTGATAAACACTTATAATATACTTACCTTCCTTATAATAATACATACTATAACCTGTTATAATGGTAATATATGTTTATTTTCAGGGGGTATGGTCATAAGTAAAAACAAGATTTTATAAAAAAAAAATTGGATCCATGAAAAGCTGATTAAAATCAATAAAAGTGAAAAATCTAAAAAAAATATCAAATGATTTTACTTGAAATATGTTAAATTATTTGTAAAATCTAAAGAAAATATCAAAGGATTTTACTTTGAAATATATTTAAATTTTTGTAAAATATTAGTTGTCTATGGTTATCTATAATTGGTCGCATTTTGTCAAAAAACAACATAAAAAACAAAAAGTAAAACTGTCTAAAGGATTACTTAATATAAAAGTTTTTTCTTTAATAAAGAAATAGTTTTGATTTATAATTTTTTTTTTTCTTTAATTATTCTTACATTTACTTTTACTACATTGTAATCACCATTGTATTATAATTTTAATTTCCTAAAGTTATTTAAGTTACAATTTTTGTAAATATATAATTTAATGGTTTGATAATAAAGTAGGAAATTTACCCATAAGAATATTCCATCTACTCATAGAATGCTGCATCTGTTTTCAACCTGCTGTAAAATGGTAGTTATGGACTGTTTCCTACCTGCTGTAATGATAGTTATGGACTCAGTTTTCTATGGTGTAATTCAGATTTTTTTTCTTTTTAAATAGTAAACTAATTAATTATTTTTTTACATATTTAGGACTGGTATGGTTGGTGTTGGCGAACCTCCAACAGACAGTGTTTCAACTAAGGTTTACATAATAATATCCATTTGTCTTGGTTCACCAATTGTTCTTATGCTTGTTGGAATATTCACATTACTAATAAGGCAAGTTAAATTCGGCCGCAATAATTACAAGGCTATTAACTGAAACGCTATCAAATTTTATATTTTAGATTTATTAATAAAAATCACTTTTTGTATTTCCTTAGTTATGTAAAGATTGTTGTAAATTTATATATGCATTAGTATAGCAAAATTTTGTAAAACGATCCAGTATTCAAATTATGTCAATGAAAATAGAGGTTTATAATATTAAAAATTTGTTTTAACGTTGTGTGTTAAAACCCAATAGCTGTTATATTTAAACATTCTTTAGATTTTATAGAGTTAAAAAAATGTTAAAACAATTTTAACAAATTTCTATATTTTTTGTTTTTGTTTTTCATTTTTCATTAGTTTTATAAGAAATAAACTTAGTACAATAAAATGTATATAAATTTTCTTATTTTGAAAAATATTTTTATATGAAAAGTGTTTTTTTTTTTTTTTCATCCTTTTTTATTTATTTATTTATTTTTTCTTTGGGGGGGGGGGGGAGAGGACCTGAAGCATGTAATACCACTGGAACATGCATGAGTAGATCATTGCAGTTTCCAGACTAAGTAAACGAAACTTATGGATATTTATTTCACATCTGCTTGGTTACATATTAGGATTATGTGTAACTTTACAAGTTTTTTATTTATGTATTCAATTTTTCGATTGCAATCTCGTATGAAATAAGAATGAGGGATACAAAAACTTTTATCCGCGCATAAAGAGTATATAACAAGTAATAAAAAAATATATTTATATAAAATATATTTGTCAATGTCATAATATATAAAATATATTTGTCAATGTCATAAAATATATTTGTCAATGTCATTGTCATTGTTTTTCAGGTCGTAATGACCATCAACAGACATTTCTGTTTTTAATGCTTTAGCCAATAAAGCCTTCAAAACCTGCTTTATAATAAACAGATGCCAGGTTACATTTTTCTATCATACATAAAACATCATTTTGAACTTGAAAAAGTCTTTGGTCACAAAAACTTTACAGTTCAGTATAATCTTATGCTTGCAGTATAGTCAGTAAAAATTATGTTGTTAGGGTAATGCAAAAGTTTTGATAAATTTATACCTTTGTACAGTTCCGCACAGAAACTTTGTGGTGCCCAGGGTCAATTTTTGTTCGGCGTCCTAAACTTTGGATTTTTGAGTATATTGAATTAAGCATGAGTTTCGCTGTTTATCGTCCGTATGTTTACTATCACATTACAATTTAATGAAAACAATAATTATTTTTGTATTATCGCTGCACATAAACACTCTTTATTTGAATTTGGTTATATATGATAAAATGAAAATACAATTTAGATTGAACGGAATTATATATTTATTTCATCAAAATAATGTTGACTATGAAGACTAATCAGATCACACTAATTTCACTTTTTAGTAGAACGGATATTTTTGCCGGATATTAAAATTTTCTAAAGTTCTATAAGTGTTTATGAAGAAAAAACAGTTCTTGCCAGTCTACTATAAATAGTATTCAAGATCTTACTTTAAAAAGTCAAGAGAAAAACTGTATGACATGGGATACGTGCTGACAAAAATAGAAAATAATAATTAAAAAAAAAAATTGGTTGTAAAAACGATTTTACATTATTAACGCATATACCTGCGTTATACCATTTTTTTCTTGATTGTATTTTTTTTAATTTTGAACACGATTTAATGTAGAATGGCAAGACTTGTTTTTTTTTTCATAAACACTTATAGAACTTTAGAAAAGTTCAATATCCAGCATATCCGGCAAAAATATTCGGTACACCTCTACTTTTAAGGGTTTTCTTCATCGCGAAATTAGAGATTAGAAAATTCAATGATAAAGTCTTGACAAGGTTGTTTTCAATTGATTCCATCATAAGGTTAGTAAGGCGTCCTTCAGTCATTATTGATCGTAATTTGGATTTGATGAGAGCAAACTTACTGAAATTGCGCTCTTCTTCAGCCACTGAAACCTGGATTGTATTAAAAATCCGATGCAAAATGCAGATCGAAGGAAATATTGACTGAAGAACTTTCTGGTAGATTCTGTTGAGCAACTTAATAGAAAAAAGAGATTATATTTGTTCAAAGTATTTGATAGCTTCAGAACATCTAGATGACGGATTTCTTCAGAACATCTAGATGACGGATTTCTTCAGAACATCTAGATGACGGATTTCTTCAGAACATCTAGATGACGGATTTCTTCAGAACATCTAGATGACGGATTTCTTCAGAACATCTAGATGACGGATTTCTTCAATCAATTCCTCTTCTTTTATATCATTTACGTAGAGGACTAAGGACTAAGTTTTTCTTCATTTGCCAGGACTAAGTTTTTCTTCATCACTCAAAGGAGCTGTAGAACTCAATACAAACAAAAACATACCCGTCGTCTTTTGAGCTGTATCCATTCTGTATCTTTTCTGCTGGAGCGTGTCAAGAGAAACATTAAATACTTTCAGCTCAAAACCCTTTGATTCGTCTTCGTGGAAGTGGACTCTGTTTATCGACTCGCCGTGAAGTATTTTACTTTTACACTTCTTAACAAAATCTTTTTGAAACCAAAACGAAGCTAACCCAGATGCAACCAGTTTCGCATCTTGTAGAATTTGGGGCCAAGGAGAACGTAGTCGGTCAATATCATTGATTAGAGTCTTTAAAAACTTTGTCTCTCATCCAAAGAAATGCTTTCTGATTGAAAAAAGAGGCTGACATGATTGAATCTAATTTTTGAGTGACTTAACAAACGTCAGTTGATGATCTTCTAAACCAAGTTCTTCAAGAGGTTTCAAGGATTTCAGTATTTCTTGTGGTCGTTTCGACAATAGCCGGACAGCCTCAGCGCGCGCACTCCATCTTGTTTGGAACGTTTGGTGAAGAGACTGCCTATTTGCCTCTGTCAAATTTTTCCAGCGCATGGGGCTACTATTAAAAAGGTTATACAACAATTGGATGTTGCTAAAATAGTTCTTGATTAAAGTAGAGGATTCTGCAGAATGAACGCTAGCTAGATTGAGACTATGCGCACTGCATGGCATGAACAAAGCCTGAGAATTTTTCTAGAGAATGATGGTCTGCACTCCTTTGTATACACCGAACATATTAGCTCCGTTATTAAATCCCTGGTCCCTAAAGTTCTTTAAATCAATTTGGCTTTGATCTAAAACGTCTATAATCAGTTTCGCAATGTCAGAATTCTTTTTTTTCTCTAGATTTTCTACCTTCAGAAAACAGTCTTTTACTATTCATTAGTTGTCAGATTCTAGGCAAAAAAATTGAAGTACGAAAGTGATTTGTTTCGTATGAGACACGTTTGGAGTTTCATCAACAGTAATCGAAATATAAATGGCTGTGTGGACCTCATTGATAATAGCAGCAAAAACAGTTTCATTACATGCCAAAATGAACTCATTTTGAGTTTTCCAGCTCAAATAGTGCGCTTGCATTCTTGTCTCTTGTTTTTTGTGTCGAGATACTACTAGTTGGAGCTAAAGTGTCTAATTGTGTTTCCCTAACAGCTCAAGGGTGGCTAAAAAATTACCATTATCGTACTCGTCCAGCATGTTTGATGAACATACACAAATATGAACATAATATTGAAATAAAGATTACATCTAGATTAATATTCCAAGCAACATTAAAATTATTTTATGAACATAAACTGCTAACACACCTCAAAAACATAGATTTCTTGAAGCTAAATGAAGAGTGACGCAGCCTGTAGCGTAAAACTTCATACCACTTAGATGCCTCATTTCTTATTGACTTTTCAAGTTCTGAATCAATCCCGGTCTAATTTTTCAAGGCTTCAAAAGCTGATTTCCAGACGAGGTAGTGGTTTCTGTGTTGAACATTGAAATTGGTTTTTCAATTTTTTCTCCTAGCTTTCGCCAATTATTTCTTCCGCCATTTCATATCAAGAGGAAAACTGAAATTCAAGGCCAAAATTAAAGCTTTTGCAGTTTTTTTTATTTTTATTATTTTCTAATTATTTAAGGTGCCCCAAGAAGATCTAACGGTCTTGTCACAGAGCACCGTGGAAATGCATTTAACCAGGAAGTTCACGCCTCCTTCCTAACCGTGACGCGAAATAGTTCCACACCAGATAATGCAGTTTCTGTTAATCTACTTTCCGTTAAGAGAAGTTTCGTAAAAACACGGGGATAGGAATGTTTTTATTTTTAGAATCTCTAACGATTAGACAATTAATTTACGAAAAATTTTTTGTTTTTGAAAGATATTTGTTAATAGCATAATGGCTGCTGTTTACAAATTACACAAAAAACATTTACTTTAAATGGTGTTTCAGAAGTGAATTATATCAAAATTATATCAAAATTTAAACAAATTTATCTTTATTCTAATGTAAAGAAACAGCATAATTCTCATGTCAAGAACTGAACAGAAAAAAACCGTTTTCCGCTTTTATCGGTATTTATGCTTAAAACAATTGTTACAAAAAAGAATCATTTTTTTGTTTTATAAGACTATATTTAAAGTTCCTTACTGAATGGTTCAGAGCAAAGAAGTTGACACAAAATTTTGTCACCAAAGGCATATAAATAGATGGACTTTAACTTATTGTTATAGATCAGAGGCGCCACCTCCATAACTGAAATCATTTGCGCGTTTTATTTTTTTGCATTTTGAAATAGTTTTACAAAACAAACCCACATTTACCTAAAGTTTTTGCTTTTTGTTTTAGTTAAATGGGTAAAATCTCGAAGAACATTAGCCTAGTTTATCAGGGAAAACTTTGAAAATTCATTATTTTAAAACTCTTAAATTTCTCTTTTATTCATTGTTACCTTTATTATGCTAACATTGCTTGGTGCAGTAGAAATAAAAAAGTAAAAGAAGCTTTAATATGAAAAAACAATCAGAAAAGTATCCAATGTAAGTCGTTTTACAAGATTAGCGTTCTTTTGGATGATTGAAAAAAAAGATTTTGATTTTTTGATAAAATGCAGACCTGGAAAGTTATATATATATATATATATATATATATATATATATATATATATATATATATATATATATATATATATATATATATATATATATATATATATATATATATATATATATATATATATATATATATATATATATATATATACATATATATATATATGTGTGTGTGTAAAATGTATTCCACAAAAAGAGTGCTCAATGTTCTTAAGGAACAGAGCAATTACAAATTAGTAGAAAATCACTT